AGCTGATTTTTTTACTGTAAATATAACTCATTGAGCTCTACAAAATGAAATAATTTTCGATTGATTCCGAGGTACTTGTGTTTTTTGTGGTCGAAACCCCATGGGATAGGCCAGGCATGTTTCTACTATCAATGAGAATGTTATTACTATCATCAGAAACGAATCTAGTACCATTATGGATGCTTCCAGCATCATTCAGGAATACTTGTTATATCATCAAGAGTGCCTGTAGCATCCACAGACACACTTCATAGAAACTCAAGCATGCTACTAACATCCACCTGGCATGTTTCCGCCATCCTTGAGGATGTCTTCAGCACACAGAATTGATGGATGAACAGCTGTAGCTAGCACAAGCTAGGACTGTCACACGCCTAGTTCTAATTATGTTTTTTTCTAATTGTTAAATAAACATTTTTTTTTATAATCTGCTTAATCGAGGTAGTCATGTCAAGTTTTGAAAGGGAATTTTGTGGCATTTCATTCTCATATATTTGTTTTGGTTCTTGTTAGAAAACTGAATCCTCCGAGGTAATTAAACTTCGTCGACGACATCGCAAAGATTTAGACGATATAGACATGGAATTGAAAATTTTAGATGACGAATTTAAATTGGTACAAGTTCATATTAAGGGGACAGATGATGAAATCAAACTGGCGGAACGTCAAAAGGAGCAAGTGAAATATCAACAGCAATTAGCAGAAATGGATATGGAAATGGCCGAAGTTAAAAGAAGAAATGCAGAAATAGACAAATATACATATGAAAGAAAAGCTTTTGAAATTAACCAAGAGATTAATCAAGCTCGAGCTTTTCGGATTAGTACAAATCAAAAATGGCTTGACTTGATTAATGAAAGACTTCGACAAGATTAAGAAAATCAGTACTGATGAGAAAATGAGTAAGTTTTCTATCTAGCTTCATTTATCTTTATTATCTTTCTAGTCAAGGTGTGCTAACGAACAAGATGACTACGAAACGTCTGAACAAAGATGTTGCCAGTCGATAAACTTAAGTACCCAGGTCGAACGATACGGCTACTTTACGGTTACTTTATGGACCGTATTACGGCCGTCGTACTTCACCCAGTAATATGGACCGTACTATAGTGATTTTTTAACCGTATACGGTCGTATTTTCACGGCATACGGCACCGTGTACGGGGTAATACGGGCCATTTACGGTCGTAAACTAGCCGTTTTCTCATCATTTACTGTCTGAAAACGGCCCGTAACGGATATTCGTTTTGATCGACCTGGATAAGGGACGAAAAGTCTGAAGATATTGGGGTCGATCATATCCGCCTTACTTTTCAATACTCTCTTTGTTTTTTATTTTTTTTTTCATTTTTTGTGTTTCCTGTGTGTGGCCTAAATTATTTGTTTTTGATTAATATATTTTTTTATTCGATTTGGTTATTTCGGTCTGTAAATTTTTGTTTTTTTTGCTAAAAAGTATATGTTTGTTTTATTGTTATCTTTGTTGGGGAACGGAATTAAAAATATTATGTTTATTCACTCACGCATGTTGGTGATTAAAAGAGATGATCGATATATTCAACATCTGAAAACACAACTAACTACAAATATATAGAAGATTTAATAAAAGTAAATTATTAAACGAAGACTTTTCGAAATTCTTTTTGTTGAAATCAAAAATTAGATTGATTTTTTTGAAACAAGTTGAATATTGACAATCTTTGTTCTTGAATAAATATGCTTTTCATCATCTTTTTATTCTATGGAACAATAATTTCATTTAAACCAACAGAAAAAAGAAAGAAAATGAATAACTATGATGAATGAAACAGAAAAGAAAAACTAACAATTTTTCAAAAAACAGAAATAGAAAAGAAAAACATAAATACACTATACATAATGAGCGAGATCAAGTTGTTGAACAAGTTCTCGATATTGACTTGACGACAAATGTGCAAATAAATTTGAAGTAAAATTAAAATTCATAGGGTGGGTGTGGGTGTGGGCGTGAGTGTAGGTGTGGGTGTGGATGTGCAAGCATATAATACATATACCCACACCCACACCCACACCCAAATCCATATATATTATTCAATGCACTAAGTAAAAGAAAGAGAAGAAAGATTTGAATAAATTGTCTCAATTCGAAAACTTCTTTTATTGTCTTGTTTCTTCTCATCGCGTAAAAATATCTCTCAAAAAGATCACACTTTTCTTTTAAAAAAACCTTGTTGAACTCGTGCAAGTAGTTTTAATCCAGCATTGTTCATATATGTCTTCTCTGCTCATTCAAATAACTGAAATGAATACATCAACCAATACATATCTAATTGGCAGCTCGACCTAATCGGCAATCTTATTTTTGAGATATTACTGAACTTTATCGAGTATGAGGTATTAATGGTGTAAATCATTCATTTTCGTTACATAGGTGACCAGAGAAAATATAAGTTCACAATGTTTAATAAAAGGCTTGTGAATTAACAATAGTCTCACATTCTAATCCTATACGGAGCATGCACAAAGATTTTTCAGATATAAAAAATAAAATCAATTAAAAAAATATTAATTAATTTGTTGTATCAGTACTTTCTAAATTGGTTCTCATATCCTTGTTTTCACCTTTGATATTAATTCCTATAAGTTAGTAACGAATGGTTTAATCGAGAAAAATATATTTGATGATAAGAAAAAGTTATAAAATCTTGTTTTAATGATATTTTTAAAAAGAAAAACGACATTATGGCAATAGTACTCGAAAGAGTAAAAACAATGAAGATGATATAACCTTTTATCTAGGAGAACAGAAAGAGAAATTTTTTCCTTGCTACAATCTAATATTATGAACTGATGCATGTTTGGTATTATCTTAAATGTATTATTTAATATCTAACAAAATTTCTAATATACATTTCTTTTTAACTGAAGAAAAAATTTTTATGAATCAATTAAACTTACAAATCAACATCTTCAATGACTTCATTTGAACTTGTTCTATCAATTGATGATGCATGATCATGAAGTGATGCTGAAACAAAATATGAATTTTTATTATCCATTATAATTATGCATCTTATCGAAATCAAACGCATAACTCAAAATTTTTTTCTCTTTATTCTATATGGTTGTTAGATATTCAAATACGAATGTTTCTTATACCAGAGCAGTTTTTACAAACTCATTAATATATTTTATTATCCAAAAGTTCTAAAACACACATCTATTTGGTAATATTCAACTTTTCTAATAATTTTATCAAAGTAGATTATCGACACTTGCCTATAGGAAATTCAGTACTAATCTGAATAAAAAATCGAATATTCATACACTTACTCAATGTTTCAGCATCATGACTATTTTCTGTTGATTGTTTATGATTACGACGAAGACGACGACGAGGTGGTGAGACAGAAATATCTAAATAATGTAAAATAAAATAGAAAAAGTGATATTTTTATTTCATACTCATTTACCTTCGTTTTTAAACAGATTATCTAAATATTATCTCATCAAATTTTTCAATCCTTCTCTTCTCATCTCCAACAATCAAACATCGCCTACCTTGCTGTCCAGGAACGGCTCTATCGAGGGATGCAACTTTTTCTCCAGAATCCTCAAAAACTTTCGCATTTTCCTGGTAAAGTCAAAAGTTTTTTGGTCTTCTGTTAGCAAAACTAATAGTACACTCCTCAAATGTTCTCAAAACTTAACCTCTGCCCCCAAAAAGTTCTCTACACTCCACTACCAAATTTTCGTTGTTTCGGGTCGCCCCTGCTCATTGTTCAGATAATAGTTCCTATTGTAAATGCTAATGAAGGATTAAAAATGAACAATCCACTGCATTGTTAGATTTTTTTCTCTGTTCACTTTTTCACCTTTGTAAATTTCATCTATATATATAAAGAACAATGTTTGTCTGTCTGTCTGTCTGTTTGTCTGTTTGTCTGTTCGCTATGCATTCCCAAACGGTACGAGCAAATGCAACCAAACTTTCCAAGAATGTTCCTCACACCCAGGGGAAGGTCGACGTCTACTTTTTTTTCAAAAAAGTTGGTCCTTCGCCCGAAAAAAACCTGCATATATTGCTAACCAATCAGACTATAGTATTCGGTACTGTAGAAGGAGGGTGTGGGTGTGGGTGTGGGTATTATGTTAAGCCACGCTCACGCCAACACCCACACCCACACCCCACATACCCACACTCACACCCACATCCACACCCACACCCCACATACCCACACCCAAACATCCACACCCCACCCCATCCACACCCACACTCACCCACACCCACACCCACACTCGCACCCACACCCACACCCACACCCCACACCCACACCCACACCCACACCCACACCCACCCACACCCATACCCACCCACACCCCACACCCACCCACACCCACGCCCACACCCACACCCACACCACACACCCTAAAATGTTCTTGAAGATTTGAGTAAGCTTGAAATATTCGATTTTCGAACAAAGTGTGTGGTGGGTGTGGGTATTAGCGTTCTCTTGATCCACACACACCCACCCACACCCCACACCCTCTCGTTAACATGAAACATTTTGATAGAGAGATGTTTGAGTACCGGCGAAATGAAGAATAGTTCACTTAAAACATCAGATGCATTCGATATATGTCGAAATGAATCAGAATCAGGAGGGTATAAATAAATGGAAAACATCATGATGAATGGTGGAAGTCGAGTTTTGAATAAGCACCATGTTTCATAATTAATGTGTGCCAAAGTCAATGAACGAAGATTTGGAAATGTTTTATCAATGATACTGAATCGAGAAAAGAAAAGAGTGTTTTTTACAGACGTCATTATATCGTTTTCATCGAAGAATGTCAAAGATATAACTTGAGAAGTCGAATAAACCAGTTGAGTACAGATAGAATCAAATTGACTCTTGTCCATCAATATGTCCACATTACTGAAGTCCAGTTGAATACGAGGATAGGTCAGAAAAGCTGCACGAAGACGCTTGTTAACAAAACATATAGATGATAGAATATCAAATGATGAAATATTGTCGAGAATTTTATGAATTAATTCTACAGGTAACATTGTTAGATAGTCCGACATATTTTTTTTTCTGATTATATCAATGCTATTGCTTGGTTTCACAACAGTATTTATACGGACAAGTGGAAACAATAATCGTTCTGTTCGCTTTATTTTAAAATATCCGACGAATATATTGGTTATATTTTGTCAAGAAAATGCTTTTTTTTTCTATCTTGAGCGTAGCTATTATTTGCTAAATTCATGTTCTTAATGCCTGAAGTTAAATACAAATACAAAATAAAAAAGAATTTGTTTCTAATTTTTATATCTTGTGAAAACTGTTTTTGAGATAATTAATTTTTCAAGTGAATCGAATGAATTGGACTTTCCTCGTATGCTTTTTGTTCATAATCTACGACTGTTATATGAAAATTCAAATCAACTAAATAAACACTGAGATCATAACCGATGTACAAATGCATTTATTATATCATTAAAACAAGTCTTGTTTGTCGTAGAAGGGATTCTATATCTATCATTAGGACAACATTTAGGATGTGAGATTATTTAATAGAAACTATAGAGAAGTTAGAAAACATATTAAGTAATTCCATTCGAAAGAAAATGAAAAGTGATCTCATCGACAAATGATTTTAGAAATATTCTCTATAATGAAAATATTTATGTTCTAAATTAAAAGGTTTGGACATACTTTGGTCAAATTAAAGATCTCGCTGCCAAAGTATCAAATGTAAAATATAAATTGCTCGTCGATTGCATACACATGGATTTTCAAATTTTAAGCTATTGATCATCTATGTAAGACTGCCTACCGTCCAAAATTTCAGAGTTTTTTTTTGGTTTTTTTTGATAATTGGATGCATCTCGCTAAGCTTTTCAAGAGTATTATTTAAAGTAAAATATTCTTTTCTAATACAATTTAAGGAGCTCATTCAATCATTGAGAATAAACAAGTAGTTCTTCTAAAGTTTTGCAATATATACGCCTTGTATAGGTTATTAACATGATAATTTAGGAATAAGATCTTTAATTTGACCTCAATATGTAGAAAATTTCTAATTTAAAGTAATAAGACTTCTATTGTTAGTGTAATTTCGAATATTTCTTTTCCAGTTCGATTCGGTTTAAATTTAAAAAAGAAACTCGAACTGATCTTATTTCTGTTATAAATGAATTAAATAATTTATAGATGAGTCTTCGACGATGCTGTAATTAGAAGAAAACTGGTCAAAGCACCAATATTAGCTCGGTTTATTTAACTATATACGAATAGAAAGAAGAACATATAGACGAAGAAAGAGAAAGTATCAATAAAAGTTCGATGGTGTGTCATATCATCGTTAACAGTGATAATTTGAAACAGTATTTTTCAACGCCTTTCTTTTAAGTATAAACTATGAGTATCTCTATATTATTGGTAAAAAAAATCATTCCATTTGGTCGATATCTGGCAGATATATCTATGCTTTTTCTACTCTCTTGTATTTAATAGCTACTCGTTATTTTCTTTTTTGATTTAAATCGAAAGAATTTTTATATGAAAATATTTATTAACTATATTTAGTTTGAATATAATTCAAAAAAAGCAATTTAAAAACTGATCGAAATAAATGTAGCATCATTTTAAAAGAGATTTTAGCAAAAAATAATATATTTTTTTGAATAAGCGTGTTCCATGAGAAAGTTGGTCTAGGTTAACTTTTCACAGCTATAACCAAACTTAATACTATCTGGAACTTAAGGGTTTTAGACCACGCTCTTTCTTTTGTCCAAAATGCTCAGAAGTAGGTTTTTCTAGACAACCATGGTTTTTGGACCCACTGGTCAACAAGAAAGCTTTTTACTGGAATCACAGAAACGATGGAGCATTTCTATTTACATGGCTGTATTCAGCAAAGAACGGGCTACATTTTGAGAAAAGATTGAGTCGCCAGCTCTGAATTTAATTTTTTAAATTTTTTTAGAAATTCTAAAATTTGAACTTTTTTTTTAAATTTAAATAACTCAACATTGGAAAGTGATGGAGACCTCGGCCAAACGCCATTAGATAGAGAATTGAAAACTAAACAAACGTAGATAATTGAGGAATTTCTAAGGTAAATTTTATTACCTGAGATTAGGGGTGTCGGCGTTCCCCATTCCCTAGCGTTCTGTCCCCAAGGAACGGAACGCTTCAAGAAGAGTCCTCAACTCCTATATTATGAGGATACGCTTAGGTCCTCAACTCCTATATAAGAAATCAACTCTGACCAGCATAAATTCCGTATGATAAAACTCCAGATCTGTTCTATAGATTATGTGGAATTTTCGTGTCCGAAGATCAGAACTGAACTTCAAAAAGTATAATCGAGTCTTTTCAATGTGATTTACATGATCTACGAGTCGATTTATAGAGTGCTTGAACTATCTTTAATGATTCTGATCGACAATGGTACAAAAAATGGCACATCAGAATAATGATTCTGCATTTTATCATCATGTTTTCTTGGAACATAATCGTGAGTAACAAAATGTCATGTTTCTCACTATAATCATTTATGTATCATGTTACCATTAATATTAAACTTGAGATGTCAAATAAATACATAGCTATTCTTGGTACCATTTCAGTACTATGTCGCAAAACATAACTATTTTGAATGAATTATTGAGCGAATACTACTCACCAACAATTAAAGTTCACTAGTTTAATTAGAAAAAAGAAAAACATTATTAATACAATGAAGGAAAATAGAGATAAGCGTGTCTAGGAGGCATCGCTATAATGGTATCATCAAAAGTAATACACTTAAGTTTTGCACCGTTGATACGTGTTGTATTTCTTGTAAAATTCTGTGTGACAGTCACTAAATGTTTATATTGAACATGAAGGTTGGTAAGACGAGGTAAACGTGTATTCAAATCGGAAAGGAATTCTTCGAGATAGTCGATATGCACAAAAGCACAGTTAAGTTCAACGAGATTCGAATACTCAATAATTGAAGATACTTTTTCAGGTTTGACTATCTCATCTGACAATTTCTTCTTTTGTTGTGCCATATTAGCAACTGTAAGACGACTAAGTGCTGGAAATGAACGCGAGATTTGAGCAAAGTAATCATGTTCGAAAGAGTGTTTGTCGTCATACAAAAGCAGAACGCGAACATTCATGAACATGCCATCAGGAAAACTATGAGTAATATAATGTATACGTTCCATAGTGAATGGAAGCGAATAAATATGACATCGGCCAGTGTCATTATCATCATATTTAATACAGCAATTAACATTAAGCCCTGTTTGGATGAACGTGCGTTGAATATCGTCAGGAGATTGTGCATTAATCATGCTTTGCTCGGTAACGATGTCAAACGTAAATGTATGTAAATGTGGCAATTTACTAAGTATATTCTTATCTAGATGAATCCCATCAATGAATGAACTTCGATGACGAACATGGACAGATAATGTGAGCTTTTCCAAATGTAACATTCGATGAAGAAGCGGAATAACAAGAGAATCAAATTCAACCATTGGAGTATGGACATACAGCGAAAAACATTTCAGGTGAAGTAGAGACTTCTAAAACATATTAAACATTCTTTATTCAATGATAGATTCAATGGATGGATCACTATTGAACACATATATCACTTTTCGATTCTCATAGTCTCACACTTTTTTTTGTGAAACACGATTTAAAAGGAGTGTTGAAGTGTTTAAAGATGCAAATTTGCATTGACTTCCCCCTCATAGATCGTGACAGGCAAAGCATCACAGATCATCATAAGCTGTGATCAATCTAGAATCATGAACCATTACAGATCGTGATCGACATAATATTATAGATCAAGTACCACATGACCTTAAACTTGATGCATATGTGGTCGAAATCATTCATTTACAATATAAGAACCTCTATCGTGTTTCATATTATTATCTCGTATAGATTATAATGAAAACCTTTCGATTATTGGATACCAAAGAATTCTGATTTTTTTTATCTTAGAATATTCTGAGGAAAAGTTGTAGTGTTTTAATATACATCTGTGTGATTTTACATCTCAATTTTCTAAATAATTTCATCAAAATATATCATATTTTTGTTGAATTATGTTAAGGACTGTAGAAGTGAAATAGTGACTAAGAATTGAACATAATAAATATTCTAATGAATGAATTAAGGTATAATTAAATACATTGTCTCAATGTGAAAAAAATAGAAAAATACAAAACATCTGATTTTTAATTTCCAAATTTTTTTCGAAATAATGCGTGGAGATAAAAATGAAAGAAATCTTTTTCTTTACCGCATTATTTATTAGCTTTAATGAATTTCGTATGAGTCTTGATGAACTTAAATGAATTGCTGATGGTTCATGTATGTGCTTGAGATCAACAATAAATGTATGTAATTGACTAAGACGACCATCAAGTAAGTAAAGACAATCGTCGAAATAACACATTTTCATACGTAAATAAGCAATGTTTGATGAATAATATTTAGGAAAAGATAAATCACTTGTCAATGCTTGTGAGAAATAATAATCGTAATAAACATCTGAATCAAAATACTTCAGATTTGGTAATAAGACAAAAATTTTGACATAAACATCGGTTAAGAACTTCTGCTCTGATGTACTTGAAATTTTGTAATCGCTCTTTATGATTAATTCTGAAATTTGGTGTTTGAAAGTAGGATCAAATAGCAAGTTTTCTAAAAAATAAATATATACAACAAATGTAAACAATTCTTCAGTTTATTGAATATCAAAACAAACCATCGAAGATGTGAGAATCCATACTGAGTTTAAGATTGACAAGAGTCAACTTATGTAAATTAGGATAACTATTGGCATGAAGAACACGTTGCAATAAGGATGCTTGAACAGTAAGACTTTCCATGTTGTTATGAATTCGAGGGATTATATCGGAACAAAATCGATCAAGTATTGCATCTGTTGTCGAAACATCCCCTTCATTTGATGATATCATCATTAAATCAACATCTCGAGTGAAGGCAATGTCACATGCTATTCTATCGAGTTTATGATTAACACCGACGAGTGAATATAACACATCAAAATTATTAAGTTTCTTGAAAATAGTCAATAAAATTTCGTCAGATAAACCAACAATGTTAACATTTGAATCATTCATGCTCATTGTACTTTTTCATTGCATAAACTGTTATATATATAGCTAAGTTTCGATAAAGTTCATAGTATATATGTGCCTCTTCATCGTCCGCGACAGAGAAGTGCACTGTCCGCATCGCATACTAACGTGAATTTTGACTCATATTTTGGCGGCCGCGCCGACGAAAACATTTTTAAAGACGTTGGTGACCTGACCGCTGCGTGTTCGACTCACTTCTAAATTGACTGCGTATAGATCATATTACCAACTGAAATTTCTTTAAGTCAGATTTCGAAAAACAAAGTCAATTTTAATATCTTCTGGCGATATCTCAGCATTTTTTGTGTTAAATTGGAACTAAAAATCCAAATGAGCATCGACCAAATAATTATTCTTAACAGAAAATAAAATTTGATCAAATTCGACTGATAATAGTTTTTAATACCAGTGAAAAATATTCATGAAACAAAACGGAAAAAAACGCGTTCATGAAAACATGGAAAGTTGTCTCTCAGTTGAAAAACGTGTTCTATAATTTAGTGAAGGCGTTCATAAATGGAAAAACATGTTCTGTGTTTAAAGGAATGCATTCTTTGCCGTTCGATGTCACTGTAGAATGCTTTCTTCTCGATTCAAAAATCGTTCTTCGACTGATCAGGAAGCGTTCTGACCGGTTCCGACAACTAAAGATTAGGTTTCTTTCTGTTTTTTTTTGGGAACGGTTAAAATCGGCTGCCAGAAAAGTGAGATCGCGTTCATTGATGTTCTCAAGAGAAACGTCTAAGAATGGATTTTTTGAACTGATGAACGTATTCTCTGTCGTTCTTCAAATTGACGAACACTTTCGTCTGAATTTAACATCAATTTAGATTGAAAATTGATAACTCTAGAGCACGACACGTTGAAACTAGCTGCAAAATTAGTGGAACTTCGATAAGTTGTACTCTTCAGCAGGTTCTCGTAATTTTCAAAAACTATCTTTTTAATAATAGTTTAAGCTACAAAAAATCGGAGCATATCATTGGATAGGACTCGTCAAGTTGTACTGGAATAGATCTCTTGACGAAGCAGGTGCTAATGTCACTTACTTCTATTGGAGAACTCTTGTAGGTAACGTGAGTTCCGATGAGAATGACCAAGAACATGTTTCGAAAAAAATTTATCTTTTTTTAAGAAAAGAAAACATTTGAAAAACATTGGAACGGTCAAAAACGCACTTCAAAACGAGTGAAATGCGCTCTTGACCGTTCCATTTTGGAACGCGTTCCAATTTTGTTAGAGCGTTTTTTTCTAAAAAAAACTAACTTTTTCGGAACACACTCTCTACCGTTTTTTTAACCAGATTTTTCACTGAGTACTTTTTAAAGCTTCTTTTCACTTTGTTTTTACTTTCTCTACTAGCAAGGGTGTGGGTGTGGGTGTGGGTGTGGGTGCGAATGTGGATATTTCTTTTTATTCACAATCACCCACACACACACCCACGCACCCACACTCACATTCACACCCACCCACACCCACACTCTAGTAGAATCCATGTATTGATCTCAATTGAAACAATGATTCATGACTTGTCAAAATAAATATCATTCAAAATATATCCTTTCTCGTTGATCAATTAATATATTTTTCATTTGAAAAAAGGTTCCTTTTCTCATTTATGTTCACTCTTACGAGAAAGTTCGATGTTTTTTAAATATATTCGATTGATCTTCGAAATACATCGGCACCTATAAAATCGACAAATAATCAAGCGATTGAAATAGGATTATAATTGTCGATCGATGGTTGACGTTAACTATTCCGAAAGATTAATCTTACGCGAGATTTTCGATCTCATCCTCACGATAGCGTTGAGGTGAGAAAATCTCAAAGAGTACATTATGTGTTTCTTTATGTAAGTAAAGAAAAAAAAAGAGAATTAACTTTATTATGAGCTTTAGTCTCGACGCTGTAATCGGATGATAAGTTTTCTAGGTGTAATAGCCGGAAATTCGACAATATCATCCATAGACTGATGTGTTTGTTTCCCACAGTCGATAATCGAATAGATTTTACAAATTCTAATGACTGCCATTTTGATTTCCATGAGTGCAAATCGCATTGCAACACAGTTTCTTGGTCCAGCACCGAATGGAATCCATGCAAGTGGATGTCGCTTGGTAGAAAATCGTTCTGGATAGAAAATGCATGGATCTACTGGGCCCCAAAGATCAGGATTATAATGTAAGCTATAAGTGTTAGCACTGATGATAGTGCCAATCGGTACAGTACCTATCTTGTCGATGTAAAACTCTTGTGTACTCTGTCGATTGACAAGACTTGGAGTAATAGGATGCATACGCAGGATTTCTCGAATGAAACTATCTAGATAATCCATGCCCGCAATCACTTCATAGCTCGGTTCGATATCCGAATTGAAATAAGCATCAACATGATCTTGCAATTTTTGTTGTTCTTTCGGATGAGTCGCAAGAACATAAAAAATATACGCAAGGGCCGTACTTGTTGTTTCATAACCAGCAACCACTTGAGAATGCAAATAATAAAAACGGAACATATAGTTTTGAAAAAAAAGAAAAATTACTCACTGAAGAGAAGAATATTTGACGCTATTTCGTGTTTTGTCAGTTTTCGCACGAGTGGTGACTCACTGTTCATATCAACAGTTGTAGCGTCTCTTGCTGGCTGATCCTTTCAGCATAAAAAAAAAACTTTACTCTGTAAATTCTTGTCCTGTCACGAGTTTCCATTCAGTAGAGACAATAATGACAAATATGAAATTTAAAGAATCTTGTGGAATGTAAAGTAGCTCTAACCACAAAAGGATGTGAACGGCGTCATCATGTACAGTAGCGGACTAATAGTCTCCATCCACCTATAACTTCACTAAACATGATGACAGCACGGAAATTTTTTTGTATTATTATGTTGCTATATGGCAACATCTGACTCGAAAGAGTTAACGTAGTATCAAATCACCATGAATTTCAACAACTTCTTCATTCGTACTTTAGTGTCGAAACCAAAGATTGATAATTTGTCAATTTTTTTCTATCTTAACTTCATCTTGGGGCGTGTTTGAGAGCGTTATCTTCTTGCAATTTCCACAACGTCGAATCGTGACTAAACTGTTTCCAAGTTGTTGGCAATAGATCACGTTGGTATATGCCACATATCAATTTTGCGTCTAGATTCTGTCAGAAATAGACGATGCGATCGAAACATTGACTTCGATAGGATGCTTGACAGTTCGAACGATCTACTTTTTCCCCTGGCAAGTTCCAAACCTGGATAGTCTCGTCAGAAAATACCACTTAGCCCCAGTTTGTAGTCTGGTGGCCTTGCACCTGTTTTGAGTGATTTGCTCGATGGCCTTCAGTGAACAATGACTTTGACATGGATCGATTTTATTTCGCACGCGCTTTATTCCAGTGGCATCGTACCGTTCGTTCACTGACTACTACTCATTTTTATTTCAGTTGGTTTTCAATATCTCGGAGTTGATCATGTTTCGTAGTCGTTGCACGTGTTCGACCTGATCGGGTTGAATTGGTTAAATCTTTCGAGTGCATTCGTCGTTTGAGCCAATATTTCACCATCGTCCAACACAATTTCGTACTGCTTGTATATACGAAACTTACGAAAAGTTCTAGATGGATGAAGAGTTTTGTCTACTACTGTATATTCTCTATCCTCTTCAAATTCATGACAGGATGCACCACTATTGACATAAGAATAATGCTATTCTTTCTAAGAAAAGAGAACCTATTTTTTTAGATAACTAAATTCTTACTTCAATAAAGTTGTCATCTGAAGCTGATTTGAGCATCAATTGTAATAGATCCATTCGGTTTGTGTTACCTAATTCGAGACGTTTTTTGATTAACTGTTCTGCTTGGTTCTCGATCCATGTTGCTGGTTCATCATTGATAAACTTTCGTGTTACTGGCAAATAATGACGAAGCCAATATCGAATAGCATTATCACATCGAAAAAGTTTATTCCAGATCCACTTGAATTCAGTAAAGAATATACTACAAATCATTAACTTAGCTGTCGAATTTTGTACGTCAAAGAGTCGTTGCGATTGAACAAAATACGGGTCATTGGAATTGTTTTGCATGTCTCTATCAAGACTGAATCCACACGACCAAATAATATCCATTGTAAAACGTTTAAAAAACGGAAAAATATCGAACGGTTGATCTAGTCGTTGTTGTTCAGCCATTTTCTTCATAAGAGTATCAACACATCGATTCATCAATGTAGACATTTGTTTGAGTTTTAATGATGAAAATGTTGGATTCATAATGGATCTTTGTCGCTTCCAACGGAGACCCTTGGTTATGAATAGATGAGCATTTTTTGCATAAGGTTCATCAAATGCAAATTCACGACGCGAATGAAAATTGGAAAATGATTTTATGAATATATCTTGTAAAATATCTGGATCGGATATGACAAGAATTGGTGTATGCCCTTCAAAATAGCCGAAGATTTCACCATACTGTTTAGTCCATTCTTGAATCTTTAATGAAAGTCGGGTGGTTTTTATAATATCTAAGAAGTTGCCGAAAAAGAATCGTGGTGGTGGACCAGGAATCCCAAGACGTCTAAAGAAACTATAAGCTCGATGAACGTGCCAGATGTAGGAGACAATCAAAATCAATAAAGCAGCAACGAGTATTGTTGTTAACATGGTCATATTTTACTTTTTTTGATGTGGTTCGTGTGCTTGTTTTATATCAGATAAATGTAAAAAGATAATATAACAGAATGAGAAAGAAAAAAAAATATGTAACACTACACCATGTACTTTATTCTTTTTTTGTTCTCAAAAGCAACGTGATCCGCCACGTTGCATTTAGGATGTGTAATAAGTTCTGATCCCCTTCAATTAATGTTCTATCAGTAGAATACCTGATATTTGCAGCATATATACTAGACATGTAGATCCATTCTAAATTAGAATTTCAGGTTTCTACCTCTTACAATTAGAGAGATACAAGTAACCTAAAATTAATAGAAATTTTTTGATTTTTTTTACAAATAGCTGGAATGAAAATAATTTATTTAGGACATAGCAAAAGTAGTGGCGGAGGATGTTTGTGTGGGCGTGCAGGTGTGATTATGGGTCCGGGTGTGAGTGCGGATTTGTACATAGAAGATACTCCCACAACCCACACCCACACCCACCCACATCCACGCCCACACCCACCCACACCCACCCACACCGACACCCACACCGACACCCACACCCACCCACACCCACACCCCCACCCCCACCCACACCCACACCCACACCCACACCCACACCCACCCACACCCGCCACCCCACACCCACCCACACCCCACACCCACACCCACACC